GGTCTGATGGCCGAGTGCTGTGATGTGCCAAGTGTGGGCACTCAGGGCACTCCAAGCCAGGACTGCTTTGCAAGCGGGGAACCCCTGAGAACTGTCTGTCCGGGGTGGGGGTCAGGTCCCTTTAAGCACAGCCCTCGGCTAGCCTGAGAGAGCAGCTCCACGCTCTAAGTCCTAATCTGATGCCCTGCCGGCACTGCTTCCGGCCAGCCTTAACCCTGGTTCAGGGTCCACTCAATGTGGACATGTAATTTGAACTAGTTTTTAAGTCTAGATGCACTAGTTCGAATTAGCTTAGTTCGAATTAACTAATTCAAATTAAGTTAGTTCGAATTAGTGCTGTAGTGTAGACATACCCTAAGGGACTGCAGGGCACTGAGGAATGGGGAGAGAAAAGATGATGACTTTGGCTGAACAGATGCGCAAGGTACCTGTCAGTGCTTGCTCCCTGGAAAATACAATAGTGTAGGCTAGTTGTGGACAGTTACAGCTCTACAGGTTTTGAATTTTTATCTTATGTACACACTTATGCTTTGCATTTGTATTACAAATACACACAGCACAGATTAACTTTCAGTATATCTGTATCTATGCTACATTTCTAAACACATTTATAATTAAATCCTAATTATACAATACCCAGCTATCATAACTTTCCATGGACTTACCTGGGGAACTAGACTGACATGAATATTACAGAAGTTTTCTCTTTTGACTTTGAACTGGAACTGACGGAAAGCCTCGATGAAGGGCATACTTTCTATATCTCCCACTGTTCCACCAAGCTAAGTGACAGAAAAACGTAAAATAGTACCAAACTTCCCATAACTGATCCTTCACAGCATCTTTCTGGTCCTTACACCTGATTTTTTTTTTTTTTTTTTTAAAGGGAAAACAGCCAATACCCGCTGTTGCTCTGTGTACACTCTGAAGCAACAGCAGCAGGATTTCTCCTGGTGATATGGCGTCCTTTAATGAGATACTGGGCACTGGATGATGTGTTTCATGACATTTTTCTATTCCTCTCGGACAGCTGTACGTGGTGCAAATGAAGCGTAACCAAAGCTGGCCAAGAGAAGGTTCTTTGAACTCTACCCACTTCCTTCTATCCAACCAGTATTTTATGCTCTGAAACCCCTCTTATGACAGTTTGGACTGCAGAAGAAAAGCAGCTTCCCAGAAGGCCAATGTTGGCATAGGGATTACAAGGACACTGGTCATGTGTCTTATTCCCCTGGAGTACAGGCATATTAACTCTGTGCTGAAACTGAACTCAATGCCATAGGTAACAAGAACCCAGAAGTACCTCCACTTCAGCCCACTAGAATGCCAAGCTGGCATGCATATAAAATTGGACAGTTGAAAAGAACAAGCCCCAAGAACTGGGTGAAGAACTATTTAATACAAACCCTCCTTCTCTACAGGGCTTAACTGCAGAGTTATAGCTCAACTTACTCTGCATGCAAATCAAGACAAGGAGGGAAAGCTACAAACCTCAATCACGCACACTTGGGGTTCAAGGCCATCTTCATCCACAGGAATTCGTGCCTGTCTCATTACCCACTCTTGGATAGCATCTGTGATGTGGGGGACAACTGCAAGAGAAATAGGGGTAAAGGTTCAAATCACAGTCTGCACATATTGCAGTCTCCAACTCACGCTGCAGCAAATTACTGAGATGACCGAACCATTGCTTCTCATTCACATCTAATGCTGATCACCAAATTCGTAAATCAAAGCATTCCTTTCACTGAGTGGTAATTCCTAGCCATGATCTCTCACATTCGGAGATGTAGTCCCACTCTACAGCTCAGACCACTAAGTGATGTTTTTCAGTTGGAAGCCTCCAATAAAACAGTATTATGTGCAGAACACGGAGAGTTTTGAGTTTTAAAACAAGACAAGTTTTATGCTAGCAGACAAAGATGTTGTGTAACAAACTGACTAACTCAGAGAATTCAGCGTCCATGCCAAAATCATGAGAACAGGAAAGCAGTTTTAATGTTATTGTCTCCTTTAGTATGGTTGAGTTATATAAAGCAGTAGCACACTTTAAATCAGCCACAAGGTATACATGAGCCACACAATACTGGTCTGAAAATGACATTATTTGTATGCAGTGTAGTTGTAGCTATGATGGTCCCAGGATATAAGCTTCAGAGGGGTAACAGAGTTAGTCTGTAAATGGAAAAACTTAAAACAACCAATAGACTAGCAGCACCTTAAAGACTAACAAAACATGCAGATGGCATCATGAGCTTTTGCAGGTGCAACCGACTTCTTCAGAAGATTAGTGTATTAGAAGTCCAGATCCAAGAATAAAGAGAAGGAGAGGGAAAAAAAAGAAAGAAGGAGAGAGAAGATGGTTCAAATAGTTACAAGAGGCTGATAAGAACAATTGCACATCCATTGGCTGGTTAAGTCATTAGGATGTGGAAGATAGTGTGCCAGCCAGCTGATGTCCCTGTTCATACTATTTGCATAAGAATTAAACTTGTAAATGAAGTTGACATTTGCCTATGTATTTGGCTTGTGGACTTGGTGACTTGGAGATCCATTAATGAGTGCCTGGGCAGGTTAGAGTGCTCTCCAATCAGTTTCTGTGCATTGCCTTTTTGGAGATCTGATTTGTGTCCATTAATTCTTTCCCATAGAGACTGTCCAGTTTGGCCAATACACATGGCAGTGGGGCCTTGTTGGCATTTGATGGCATAGATCACATTAGTGGACGTGCAGTTAAATGAGCCTCCGATTTGGCGGCTTGATGTGATTGGGTCCAGTGATGAAACCGGTAGTGTAGATGTGTGGGCAGAGCTGGCACCGGGGCTGATTGCAGGGGTGGGTTCCTGGACGATTATGATAGAGGTGTGTTACTCACAGACTCATAGACTTTAAGGTCAGAAGGGACCATTATGATCATCTAGTCTGACCCCCTGCACAGTACAGGCCACAGAATCTCACCCACCCATCCTAGAATAATCCTCTCACCTATATCTCAGATATTGAAGCCTTCAAATACTTTGAAGACCCCAAGATGCAGAGAATCCTCTAGCTGTGATCTGTACCCCATGCTACAGAAGAAGGCAAAAAACCTCCAAGGCCTCTGCCAATCTACCCTGGAGGAAAATTCCTTCCCGACCCCAAATATGACGATCAGCTAAACCCTGAGCATGTGGGCAAGACTCATCAGCCAGACACCCAGAAAGTTCTCTATAGTAACTCCTATCATCCCTCCATTGACCTATTTACCACTGATAATGGTCAATTAGTTACCAAGATCATGTTATCTCATCAAACCATCCCCTTCATAAACCCATCTAGTTTTATCTTGAAACCAGATAGATCTTTTGCCCCCACTACTAGTGTTGTGTGGTTACTGGAAAGAATTTGTTGGGGGTTGTCTGTAGGTGAGGACTGGCGTTTCCCCCAAGGTCTCCGAGAGCGAGGGGTCATTTCCCAGGATAGGTTGTAGATTTTTGATAATGCATTGGAGGGGTTTAAGTTGAGAACTGTAGGAGATGACAAGTGGAATTCTGTTGTTTATTAGGATATTAGATTACTGACACTTTGGGTTTGACTACACTAGAAAGTTGTTTCACTTTAACTACAGTGAAACACACAAAGCGACACACTGCTGTCGTGGGCATGATTCTCTCATTAGAAAGGTGTTTTACTCTGGCAGAGCTATTTCCACATGGGAGGGGCAATACTACGCTGGTACAAGGCATCTCTATACCGGCGTCACGGCATCCACTCTAGGACTTCTACAAATATAACTGTACTGGTTAAAATGTCACACTACTGCGCGATAGAGGTATTGCAGGATAACTTGCAAGTGTAGTCCAGTCCACAGAATGATCCGGTGTCCCTTTTGGAACTGAAACGAGCCAAGAAAGATAGAAAACAGATTTAGGTTTATATCTACAAAAGATTAAGTGCATTACCTTGCACAGTTTTGCCCAGGTAGTCACCCTTCCTTTCCTTGTTGATGACATATTGATAGATTTTCCCAGTAGTCAGATTATTGTCCTTGGTGAGACAGATATCAAGGAAGCGTTCGTAATTACCCAAATCCAGGTCTACCTCCCCTCCATCATCCAGCACAAACACCTCTCCTGCAGCAAATGGTAAGATGCAAAACCATTAGTCAATTAGCCAATATATAAAGCAAGCTTCCTCCCTAAAACTGAAAGAGTTCAGTGTAATAAGTCAGCTTCTTGATAAAATTTATTTTATACAATTAAAATTTTTTTAAAAGAATAGCCAATAAAAATAAAAACCGCATTAGAACGGCCATATTGGGTCAGACCAAAGGTTCATCCAGCTCAGTATCCTGTCTGCTGACACTGGACAATACCAGATGCCCCAGAGGGAGGGAACACAACAGGTAATCCTCACATGATTCCTCTCCTGTCATCCATTTCCAGACAAACAGAGGCTAGGGACACCATCAATACTGGGTAATGGCCATTGATGGACCTAACCTCAATGAATTTATCTAGCTCAGGGCTACTCAACTTTGGAAGCCCCAGGGACCACAGTGATACTCACGGCACATGCTGAGGGATGCAACTTAAGTGTGGTTGTATATACATGCAAATAGCTTCTTTCACACTGATGGGCATAAATACAAAGATTAAAGCAAGACTACACAATGCATAGGCCCCATTTAAGTCCGTTCTGCTGATAGACCATTATATTGACAACTTTTTTTGTTTAGGCTCACAGGGCATGGGAGGCACGAGGGCCGCATGTTTAGTAGCTCTGATCTAGTTCCTTTTTGAACCCTGGTAAAGTCCTAATATTCACCACATCCTCCGGCAAGGAGTTCCACAGGTTGGTTGTGTGCTGCATGAAGAAATACTTCCTTTTGTTTGTTTTAAACCTGCTACCTATTGTAGCTATTAATTTCATTTGGTGACCTTATGAAAACAAGTACATAAGTTTTCTTTATTCACTTTTTCCATACCAGTCATGATTTTATAGACCTCTATCATATTCCCCCTTACTCTCCTCTTTTCTAAGCTGAAAAGCCCAAGTCTTTTTAATCTCCCTTCATATGGGACCCGTTCCAAACCCCTAATAATGTTTGTTGTCTTTTTCTGAATCTTTTCCAATGGCAATATATCTTTTTTGAGATGAGGCGAACACATCTATACAAGATGGGGGCATACCATGGTTTTATATAGAGGCAATAACATATTCTTTATCTTATTCTCTATCCCTTTTTTAATTATTTCTAACATTGTTTGGTTTTTTGACTGCCGCTGCACACTGACTGGATGTTTTCAGAGAACTATCCACAATAACTCCAAGATCACGCTCTTAGGTAGTTGTAGCTAAATTAGTCCCCATCATGGATCAGAAAGTGGAATAAGATTAACATGTTAAAGAATAAATCACTGCACATCCTTTATATAAACGGAAGAGATTCTGAGCTTATTTATGACAACATAAAACTGAAGTAGAGCTTTTGAAATCACACTTTTAGTGAAACAGTATTTAACCTCATAATACCAGTTTGATAGGCTTGTAAAGAAATATTAGCAAGTCCAACATAGCTATGCGTTATGGAAATTACTAGTATCAATTTTTATTCTAGATACTCTCAAGGTGAATCTACAGGTTACTAAAGCTTTAAAGCAAGGGTCTCCAACCTTTTCACATCCAATATCACTTTTTAAATGTCAGGGCAAGCCAAGATCTACCCCTTGAGGCCCTGCCCTCTCCATCATTTGCTGTCCCCAACTCACTCTCACTGGGTTGAGACAGGAGGTGAGGACTCTGGCGTGGGAATGAGGGATTTGAGTGTGGGACGGGGTAAGAGGTGCAAGCTCTAGGAGGGAAAATGGGTGCAGGAGGAGGTGGAGAAGGGGATGCTGGTTCAGGAAGGAAGCTCCAGGCTGGAGAGCGTTACGGTCAAGTGAAGGGTTGGGGTGCAGAAGTTTGGGCTGGGGAGTATACGGGGCTAAGGACACAGATTTGTGGTGTGTGGATGGTGAGGGAGTGTTGAGGATCAAGACTGGGGATGTGGGGTGTGCAGGAGTTTGGGGATGTGAGGACCCACAGAAAAAACAGTGGGGAACCACACAAGTGAGATGCAAAAAAACAACTCCCCCCATACCCCTCCAAGCCTAACTGATGTGGCCCCCGACTGAGACACCTCTCTCCCCTGGCACTCCAACCCCATGCGGGAGGGGAGGGCCACTAGGTACGACTGAGGCCAGATTAACTCTTCTGGGATTCCAGGATTAGTGGATTTTGTGGGCCCCTCTACACTGTGAGGTGGGGCCAAAAATGAGGGACCTAGTGTGTGAGATAGGGGTGGAGGTGTGAGATAGGGTACAGGAGGGATGGGGCAGAGGCCAGGGCAGCTCAGCCAGTTCTTGGGGGTCTCCAGGGACGAGGCTCTCTGGGTAGCGCCGGATGAAGTCGCTCTGGATCCCGCGTCGCCGGAGCATGGGGAAGGAAGGGAAGCGCGCGCTGTGGGGCCGGGGAGGAGCAGCGCTTCCTCCTCTCCCCCGCCTTGCCCTCCTGCGGAGGGGAGTCCCGCAGGGCGTGCGCCGGCGTCCCAGGAAGTGCCCAGGAAGCGCCCAGGAAGCGTCCTGTCGGCCGGGGAGGAGGGGCCGGGGAGGAGCAGCGCTTCCTCCTCTCCCCCGCCTTGCCCTCCTGCGGAGGGGAGTCCCGCAGGGCGTGCGCCGGCGTCCCAGGAAGTGCCCAGGAAGCGCCCAGGAAGCGTCCTGTCGGCCGGGGAGGAGCTGCGCGCAGGCTGCCCGCTAGAGACCCCGCCCCCTGCTCGAGGCCCC